TTTCTCTACCACAGGGGTACCACTAGCAAGTTTCTTTGGGCCCATGGCAGCTTATTTCACAGTCCCAAAAGCACTAAACACAACGAAATAATCGTAAAGTGCGTGAATGAGAGCGCAGGTTAGTGTTCACTCAAGCATAAACAAAGCTAGACTGCTCACGGCGCCTGCGCGGGGACGCGGACAGAGCGGGCGGCAGACAGGTCCCATACCCGGCGGTCCAAAAATAGGGGTGCGTTCGATAATAGGGACACAGTTTGTCCGAAAAAATGGTCCTATTTTCGAAACGTTCGATATGTGATACGTTCGATTTTTGAGGTTCCACTGTATTTACACCACACATTGCCCTTAGACAGGACATCTCCACTGGTTCCAACCGCCTCCTCACTGCAGCATTTGCAACCCAAGTTTCATACCCATATAAGGGTTTTGGTACTACTATACTTTCATACATTCCCTTCTTTGCCTCCATAGATGACATTTTTTGTCTCCACATATACCTCAACGCACCACTCGCCTTTTTTCCTTCGTCAATTCTATGATGAACGTCATCCTTCATAAATCCATCCGCTGACATGTCAGCTCCCAAATATCTGAAAACATTCACTTCTTCCATACTCCTCCTCCCCAATTTAATATCCAATTTTTCTTTATTTAAATCATTTGATACCCTCATCCCCTTACTCTTTTCTATGTTCACTTAACTTTCTACCTTTACACACACTCCCAAACTTGTCCACTAACCTTTGCAATTTTTCTTTAGAATCTCCTGTAAGCACAGTATCAGCAGCAAAAAGTAACTATGTCAATTCCCATTTTGTATTTGATTCCCCATAATTTAATCCCACCCCTCTCCTGAACACCCTAGCATTTACTTCTTTTAGAACCCCATCTATAAATATATTAAACAACCATGGTGACATTACACATCCCTGTCTAAGACCTACTTTTACCGGGACGTAGTCTCCCTCTCTTCTACACACCCTAACCTGAGCCTCACTATCCTCATAAAAACTCTCTACAGCATTTAGTAACTTACCACCTATTCCATATACTTGCAGCATCTGCCCCTATCCACTCTATCATATGCCTTTTCTGAATCCATAAATGCAATAAAAACTTCCCTACCTTTATCTAAATACTGTTCACATATATACTTCAATGTAAACACTTGATCTACCCACCCTAAAACCTCCTTGCTCATCCGCAATCCTACATTCTGTCTTACCTCTAATTCTTTCAATAATAACCCTACCGTACACTTTTCCTGGTATACTCAGTAGACTTATTCCTCTGTAATTTTTACAGTCTCTTTTGTCCCCCTTCCCTTTATACAAAGGGACTATACATGCTCTCCACCAATCCCTAGGTACCTTCCCCTCTTTCATACATTTATTAAACAAAAATACTAACCACTCCAACACTATATCCACCCCTGCTTTTAACATTTCTGTCATGATCCTGTCAGTTCCAGCTGCTTTACCCCCTTTCATTCTACGTAATGCCTCACACACCTCCCCCACACTCACATCCTGCTCTTCACTCCTAAAAGATGGTATACCTCCCTGGCCAGTGCATGAAATTATCGCCTCCCTTTCTTCGTTAACATTTAAAAGTTCCTCAAAATATTCTCGCTATCTACCCAATACCTCCATCTCTCCATCTACTAGCTCCCCTACTCTGTTTTTAACTGACAAATCCATTTGTTCCCTAGGCTTTCTTAACTTGTTTAACTCCAAAAATTTTTCTTATTTTCATTAAAATTTCTTGACAGTGCCTCTCCCACTCTATCATCTGCTCTCCTTTTGCACTCTCTCACCACTCTCTTCACCTTTCTTTTACTCTCCATATACTCTACTCTTCTTAAAACACTTATGCTTTGTAAAAACCTCTCATAAGCTACCTTTTCCTCTTTTATCACACCCTTTACTTCATCATTCCACCAATCATCCCTCTTTCCTCCTGTCCCCACCCTCCTATAACCACAAACTTCTGCCCCACATTCTAATACTGCATTTTTAAAACTATCCCAACCCTCTTCAACCCCCTCCCCCACTACTCATACTTGTACCAGCCTACCTTTGTGCCAATAGTTGCTTATATCTCACCCGAACTTCCTCCTCCCTTAGTTTATATACTTTCACCTCCCTCTTACTTGTTGCCATTTTCCTCTTGTCCCATCTACCTCTTACTCTAACTGTAGCTACAACTAAATAATGATCCGATATATCAGTTGCCCCTTGATAAACGTGTACATCCTGGAGCCTACCCATCAACCTTTTATTGACCAATACATAATCTAACAAACTACTTTCATTACATGCTATATCATACCTTGTATATTTATTTATCCTCTTCTTCATAAAATATGTATTACTTATTACCAAACCTCTTTCTGCACATAACTCAATTAAAGGCTCCCCATTTTCATTTACCCCTGGCACCCAAAATTTACCTACTACTCCCTCCACAACATTTTTACCCACTTCAGCATTGAAATCCCCAACCACAAGTACTTTCACACTTGGTTCAAAACTCCCCACTCATTCACTCAACATTTCCCAAAAGCTCTCTCTCTCCTCTTCACTTCTCCAAGTGCATATACGCTTAATATAACCCACTTTTCACATCCTTCTTACCTACCTTTTTTTCTTTCTTCATTCTTTCTTTCCTTCCTTCCATCTGGTCTCTATAATATACATAAACATATATAGTCACTGGACACTTTCATATAACTGCTATTATCTTCAGCAAGCTTGTGTTGTATGTGTGAGTGTGTGGACTTCTAAATGTGCTGAGTCAGGGTCTGGCAGCTGTCAGAATGACATATTGTAGCATTACTCACTCCCCCTACTGCTTATCAAAACAATGGGGTCCAATGCTCACTTCCCCTCCATTCTCCTACCTAATTATATTTCTTTCTCCTTATTTCTATTTCTCTTTCATTCTCTTTCATTCTCCTTCATTCTCCTTCATTCTCCTTCCTTCTCCTTCTTTCTCCTTTCTCCTTCATTCTCCTTCTTTATTCTTTATCCTTCTTTCTTTCTCTTTTCTGGTATCCTGGGCATTGCTTTCAGTCACAAACTCCTCAAAACCATGAAATTCATGTTCACTGATACTTCCATCTGTGTTAGAGCAATCGCTTAGGAAGAGAAGAGTCCCAGATTTGCCAGGGAGTCACATATTTCTTACCGCTAGGCATGCTGAATAAGGACTACAGAAATGCATTCCCACAATGCACCACTGGCTTCCCGATTTTTTTTATATGGCGCACACTGACCATGGAGATCCATTCTCTCACATATGGGCCTACCAGCTTTCTCCTTATCGACTTGAAGCCACTAGAATTTTGGCGTATTAATACGTCAAACACATTGGCTTGTAAAACGTATACAGTGGACCCCTACCTTATGAACGCATCGCATTACGTTAAATCCACCATACGAAGCATTTGAACGCAAAAATTTTGCCTCGCCTCACGATAAAAAACTCGTCTTACGTGATTCGTCCGGGACGTGTCCCACGTGTGGCCTCAGCACCAGTGTTTACAAGCCAGCCAGTGCAGTCACATCTATGCATACATTCGGTACATTTCACATTATCCCAGTGTTTTTAGTGCTTGTAACTACAAAATAAGTCACCATGGACCCCAAGAAAGCTTCTAGTGCCATCCCCGTGGTAAAAAGGGCGAGAATTAGTATGGAATTGAAAAAAAGAGATTAAGGAAATGTGTGCAAAGTGGGTTGAACTGCAAACCTTTACGGATGAAAATCACCCTGACACAGCTACTGCAACCGTGTTGGCAACCTGTACAATGACAGTTATGGCCCATTTTGGGAAAGTCTTGAAGGAACGAGAGGTACAGAGCTCTATGGACAGATTTGTTGTGCGACAGAGGTCCAGTGACTCTCAAGCTGGTCCTAGTGGCATTAAAAGAAGAAGGGAAGTAACCCTGGAAAAGGACTTGCTACCTCAAGTCCTAATGGAAGGGGATTCCCCATCCCATCAGTCATCACCAGATCTTCAATAAAGGTAAGTGTCATGTATTCTATTCTTAGTAGAGTAGTAATTGTGCATGTCTTCTTCAGTTTGTGTGTATTAAAATTAATATTTCATATGGCAAAAAAAAAAATTTTTTTTCATACTTTGGGGTGTCAGGAATGGATTAATTTGATTTCCATTATTTTTTATGGGGAAAATTAATTTGGCTAACGATAATTTCGGCTTACGATGAGCTCTCAGGAACGGATTAATATTGTAAGGCGGGGGTCCACTGTATATACGACCAAAATAGTCAAAGGTTAATGGCAATTAACTGGTCACTGTTCTTCATTTTTATTTTGTTCTCTTTCTCACTCAGTGTTTTGAAGACTCACAATGCAGTCTGAATCTCTGTATTCAAATTAAGAAGCATTGATTCCCTGGGAAGCCTATTTTTGGTAACAAATTTTTTGTTTCTTGTGGATGGCTGTCTGAGAGAGGCAGGAAGGAGGGCAAGGAATTTATAATTCAGTTAATACTATATTGTACAGTAAAATTATTTGTTTCCAGGTTTACTGGGATGTGACGAAGAGTATACATTCCTCAGTTACTCTTAATTTGGTTAAACTATATATCGTATTTATGACTCATAGAATCATAATAACACAATTGTGAACAAATCACAGAATGGCTGGGGCACAATCGCATGGCAGGTGAGGCTTAAAACTCACAGGTCAGTGTGCTAACTACTGTGAGATTTGTCTGTAAAAATGTACAATTGTGGTCACAGTGGTGGTCCACGCTAACCTCTCTATGGTGTATAGAAATATACTGAGTTGGATGAATCTTATCAAAGCCAGCTGGCCCAGTGGTTAACACACTGGCCTGTTAGTTTTAGAACTTATTTGCCATGGATTCAAGCCTCAGCATTCCATTATTTGATGACATATTTATTTTTGACTGTTGTTAATATATTGTTATTGAATTTTGTAAAATATTAAGATTTTAACTTTATTTTTCAGGTTAAAACATTATGGGGCAGCTTTGAAGTGAGTATTGTAAGACTGTGTGAGGTGATGCTGCAACAGTTTAGTGGAGTTCCTCTCCCACAAGACCTCACTAATTTCAACACCTTGGCTTCACAGTTCTCCATATTGCCCCTCCACTTTCTCACTTACCATGGACAACAGAAAATTTCTACCATCATAGAGGTAAACTTCTCAGCATTATTGTCATTTCAGAATGCACAAACGTGTTAAAATCTTTATAATTTTACAAGAAAGTAAAGTACACAGTAGTAAAATGCTACTGTAGTAAATCTTTGTGTATTGATCCTATTTCCATTATATTGAAATGTTGGTCCTCACTTTCGTGTACAACTCACCCTGACTTAACGTTAAACCAACACACATGCACAGATGCGCACACATACACAAATGCACACACATACACATGCGTGCTTGCACACACACACACATGCGTGCTTGCACACACACACACACACACACACACACACACACACACACACACACACACACACACACACACACACCACACACACACACACACACGCACACAACGTGACACACACACACACACACACACACACACACACACACACACACACACACACACACACACACACACACACACACACACACACACACACACTCACACACACACACACACACACACACACACACCATGCACATGCACACACACACCACACCACACCACACCACCCCACCCTACCCCACTCCACCCAACAGTAGTGGCATATAAATAACTTACACAGTATCTGAACAAATGTTGAACCCAGGTCCATGTTATGGACAAACTCCACTGGGTAAACTGTACTTTTATATATTTCATTTTACGTATATGATTACTGCAATATATCTGTAATTTGTCTGTACAGTGCTGCACACAAACAGCACCTTTCAAGGCAGGTGAAATTGCTAACCTAGAAAATGTACAGAGAACCTTCACAGCACACATAACTGCGATAAAACACCTCAAGTACTGGGAATGCTTGAAGTTCCTCGACCTGTATTCCCTAGAACACAAGCGGGAGAGATACATGATTATATACACTTGGAAAATCCTGGAGGGATTAGTACCAAATTTGCACATGAAAATCACTCCCTATGAAAGCAAAAAGACTCAGCAAACGATGCAACATCGCCCCAATGAAAAGCAGGGGTGCCACTAGCACGATAAGAGACAACAAAATAAGTGTTAGGGGCCCCAAGACTGTTCAACTGCCTCCCAGTAAGCATAAGGGGGATTACCAATAGACCCCTGGCTGTCTTCAATCAGGCACTGGGCAGGCACATAAAGTCAGTACCTGACCAGCCGGGCTGTAGTTCGTATATTGGATTGCATGCAGCCAGCAGTAACAGCCTGGTTGATCAGGCCCTGATTCACCATGAGACCTGGTCACAGACCGAGCCGCAGGGGCATTGACCCCCGGAACTCTCTCCAGGTATACAGTACTATGTTAAGTGCACAGTAGAGTAGTGCATTTTATTGCACTAAATGTATGAGTTATTTGTGTATTTTGTAACATTTTTCTCATTTAATGGACATTTACACACACTCCCCCCATTAGTCTGCTATCAAGGACTTGCTGTATAGATTTAGGTAAACAGTTCCCCCGTCTCTTTAACAGCACCATAGATCCCTTGAGAGGTAAAACCGTGATCAGTAATGTAAAAGAATATAGCTTCCTATGTTGCTGCATCATATAATGTTTGTCAGGTGGTGAGTGTTAGATATCTTTGCAGATGATGACGAAGGCTGTTAAAATTTGGGGTATCCAGCACGTTATCATTGATAACCTCCAGTTTATGTTAGGCACTTGCGAACAACAACAAGACAGGTGGTTGGAGCAGGATAGAGCAGTCACTGCCTTCCGACGATTTGCTACGCTCAATAATTGTCACGTTACTCTAGTCGTGCATCCCAAGAAGGTAAGTCACACTTTAACATCTTTGTAGAATAAAAAGGCACACTACCATGACTGGAACAATACACAAACACACAAATTCTGAATTGATTTAGGAGCCCATCTCAAGTCATAAGTATGTCTAAAATGACACAGTATGATGCGTAATTAATCCCGGCAAGCAAGAACATAGGCAGGACGCTGTAGAGTGCAGCTTGTGATTCACTTATCAAATTGTACTTTAAAAAAAAAAACTCAGAGAGAGATTTGCAGAAAGAGAGAACATGTAAATATCTGCCTTTTAATTTTTCTACTAGTACCATACAGTTTTCATCACTACTTTCATGATGTAATGAATAAGACAGGTATTAACACCTGGATATCTTTATCTTGCCAACCCAATTACTTGGAGAGGTAATTTGAGGTGTTCAGTCCCTCAGTCTTGATAGTAGGTGTTCAGTCCCACAGTCTTGATAATAGGTGTTCAGTCCCAGTCATGATAGTAGGTGTTCAGTCCCACAGTCTTGATAGTAGGTGTTCAGTCCCACAGTCTTGATAATAGGTGTTCAGTCCCAGTCTTGATAGTAGGTGTTCAGTCCCACAGTCTTGATAGTAGGTGTTCAGTCCCACAGTCTTGATAGTAGGTGTTCAGTCTCACAGTCTTGATAGTAGGTGTTCAGTCTCACAGTCTTGATAGTAGGTGTTCAGTCCCACAGTCTTGATAGTAGGTGTTCAGTCCCACAGTCTTGATAGTAGGTGTTCAGTCCCACAGTCTTGATAGTAGGTGTTCAGTCCCACAGTCTTGATAGTAGGTGTTCAGTCCCACAGTCTTGATAGTAGGTGTTCAGTCCCACAGTCTTGATAGTAGGTGTTCAGTCCCACAGTCTTGATAGTAGGTGTTCAGTCCCACAGTCTTGATAGTAGGTGTTCAGTCCCACAGTCTTGATAGTAGGTGTTCAGTCCCACAGTCTTGATAGTAGGTGTTCAGTCCCACAGTCTTAATAGTAGGTGTTCATTCTCACAGTCTTGATAGTAGGCATTTAATCCCACAGTCTTGATAAGTGTTCCGTCCCTCAGTCTTGATAGTAGGTGTTCAGTCCCTCAGTCTTGATAGTAGGTGTTCAGTCCCTCAGTCTTGATAGTAGGTGTTCAATCCTAGTTTTGATAGATGTTCAGTCCCTCAGTCTTAATAGTAGGTGTTTAGTCCCACAGTCTTGATAGTAGGTGTTCAATCCCAAAGTCTTGATAGTAGGTGTTTAGTCCCACAGTCTTGATAGCAGGTGTTCAGTCCCACAGTCTTGATAGCAGGTGTTCAGTCCCACAGTCTTGATAGTAGGTGTTCAGTCCCACAGTCTTGATAGTAGGTGTTCTGTCCCTCAGCCTTGGTAGAAGGAGTTCAATCCCTCAGTCTTAATAGTACATGTTCAGTCTTGATAGTAGGTGTTCTGTCCCTCAGCCTTGGTAGAAGGAGTTCAATCCCTCAGTCTTAATAGTACATGTTCAGTCTTGATAGTAGGTGTTCAGTCCCTCAGTCTTGTTAGGTGCTCAGTCCTTCAGTCTTGATAAATTAGATCTATGAAGGTTGGACTGAACACCTACTATCAAGGCTGTGATGTACACTCAGATGAACCATCTCAGGTCACAGCAGGGCCTGCCTAGTAACTTGCTAATCTGTTACACCCTAGCCAAGTCAGGTATGTGTGAAACTGTTGCAGTCCCAAGGGAGAACACCTGCATTCAGGGTTCTCAAGGCTTTTGTTTGAGTAAGCGTATATCCTTAAATTAGGAGAGGGGTGCTAATGGTTCTTGGAATACTGACACTGGTGGTGTGCTAGCCATGGAGGGTGACCCCTGAACCTTGGAGTTAAAGGGGGGGGGGCATAGAGGACCATACAAGTCCAAGGAAACAGCTGAAAGGGAGAATTTGGGGAGAGTTCTGGGCGAGAAAACTGAGGCTCTGTGAGAGAGCTTGAGGCTCTGTTGGAGACTTTGGGCAGAGTACTGGCTGGGAGCTGTGCTCATGCCATGTGGGTCTTGGGACCTGTGGCTAGAGGTTGACTGAGTTCCTGAGGTGAACTGTTCTACCAACTTACATTGTAAGTGATAATATTCAATTTTGTTGGCTCACCTGGATTCCCTGTCTCAGACTGTGTGAAATTCCCATTGATTTTAATATCAAATCCCTTTCTCCTTTTCCCAAATGTATTATTGTACAAGAATTTAATAATAAATGTATTTGAGTGAAATAGTATATTCACTGTCCCCGATATTATCATTCTTTATTTTATTTATAATAAGGTGGAGTGAGAGTGGAGAAGGGTAAGGTCCAAAGTAGTGAGAATAGTGTCAACGAGAAGTGGTGGTGTAGTCACCAGTAACCTCTTATTAGCTCCACTCCTCTCACCACCTTCACTTCTCATACTCACTTGCCTTACTTCCTTATTCTCTTCATTATTACCTTTTTCTATAACTCCCTATATGACAAGGCTGAAGGATTGATCATCTTAAAATTCTCTCTCTTCTCTCTCTCTCTCTCTCTCTCTCTGTCTCTCTCTCTCTCTCTCTATCTCTCTCTCTCTCTCTCTCTCTCTCCTCTCTCTCTCTCTCTGTCTCTCTATCTGTCTCTCTCTCTCTCTCTCTCTCTTCTGTCTCTCTCTCTCTCTCTGTCTCTGTCTCTCTGTCTCTCTGTCTCTCTCTCTCTCTCTCTGTCTGTCTGTGCTTCTATCATCTCAGCACAATAGAATCCCCATATCCATAGATTCGATATCTGCAGTTTCATTTATCCATGGTTTACTATGACCCAAAAATACCTCTTAATTGTGCATAATACTGGCCCCAAAGTGCAAAATACAGAAGCTGGGAGTTCTTCAAAGAGAAGTCATGAAGTGCTTCCCACCAGTGAAAAAGTGATAATTCTCCACTTATTGTGCATAATTTATCAAACTTTATAATAGGTATGTATAGGACCTGTATATAGTGCTAGTTACTATCCGTGGTTTCGGTATCCACGGCAGGTTCTTGGAATGTATCACTTGTGGATACGGGGGCCCTTCTGTATTTATTTTCTGTATTTGACTGAAAAAGTCACTGGGTTGGAAAAACGTTTCCATTAATAAAGATAACCAGGTGTTAAACATTTATATAATTTACAGTTAGCACTATATATTTCTGCTCACAAAATTATTAACTGAAATAATGTTGATTTCAGCATTTAACCCTTTCAGGGTCCGTTCCGTAGATCTACGGCTTTACGTTCAGGGTCCGAACCGTAGATCTACGCCAAAATTCTAGCGGTGTCAAATTTAGCGCGAGAAGGCTGGTAGGCCTACATCTGAGAGAATGGGTCTGGGTGGTCAGTGTGCACACCATAGAAAAAATCTGGATGCCCGCATGGCATTGTGGGAACGCCGGCAAAGTAGCTTTGTTCATTGTGCCTGGCGGCAAGGAAGCCCCCACTCCCCACTCACTCTCTGGGTGAATTCTGACTCTCCTCTTCACAACTTACAGTTCTAAGACTGATGGAAGTGGAGCTGAAGACAAATTCTATGGTTTTTGAACCATATGGTACCATTGTGCCATATGGTACAATATGGTACAATGGTGCCATGTCATACAATGGTATATGGTACAATGGCATCGTATGGTAGAGTGGTACCATATGGTACAATGTACCATATAGTACATTGTATCATATGGTATATTATACCATATGGTACAGGGTACAGGGACCCTAATGGAAACAAGTCTGTCTGACTTTTTTGGGTTATCCTAGGTTCTCGAAATATATGCTGCTAAGTATGATATTCTATGTAACTTTATTTGTGTATAACTAAATAAACTTACTTATGATGCCACATGCACTTGAGTAAGTTTATTCAGGTGTACAGAAATACAATTACATAGATTATCATGTATAGCAGCATACATATAAAATCCTAGGATAACCCAAAAAAGTCAGGGTGACTTATTTCCATAGTTATCCCTGTATCTGTACCATATGGTGTCCTGTACTGTAGGGTACCCTGTGCCATATGGTACCCTGTACCATATGGTACCCTGTGCCATATGTTATCCTGTACTGCATGGTACCCTATACCATATAGTACAATGTACCATATGGTACCCTGTAACATATGATACCGTGTACCATATGGTCAATAGGTGTTGGTGGCCTAAGACACCAGCCAAGACTGAGTGAGTGGCGACACAAACTAGCTACTGACTCCGCAGTTTCTGAGACAAAATGCTTTGTCATCCACCTCAAGGAACACGTCAAGTTCCTGTACACTTGTAAATATATAATGGAACATTACTAATATACAACATTTTTGCATATTTTTGTTGTGAACAACTATTGTAAACAAAATAATAATGAAAATATTAGTGTGTTTATTGTGTTGAATACAACAGTACCATATGGTACAATGAACCATATAGTATCATTGTACTGTTTGGTACAATGTACCATATGGTACCATTGCACCATATGGTACCATTGTATCATATGGTACCATTGTATCATATGGTACCATTGTACCAAATGGTGCCATTGTACCATTGGTACCATTGTATCATGTGCCATTGTACCATATGGTATCATTGTATCATATGGTGCCATTGTACCGTATGGCACCATTGTACCATATGGTACCATTGTATTCAACACAATAACCGCACTAATATTTTCATCATTTTTGTTTACAATAAACTTGTAAACAAGTTTTGTAAGCAATATAATGATAAACAAATTAGTGCAGTTATTGTGTTGAATACAATGAGTGTACACTTATACAATATACATTATACTGGTCTCACAGGCCACAAATGTTATTAAAAAAAGAAAAAAATTAGAAAAGAAAAAAAGTATAAAAAACGTAAAATAAAAAAATGGGATTTTGTGGAAGTCGCTGATCTTGCCGCCACCCGGTCATTTTGGGTCAACTTCCCGCGGCTGTATCTCGGTAAGTACTGATCAGAAATTTTTTTTTGTCTTATTACCTTCACAAAAATATACTCTTAACCCTTTGAGGGTCGACAGGCCCTCTCCGAAACTCGTTCTCAGGGTCGGCCAAATTTCAAAAAAAAAAAAAAATTATTTTTTCTTATGAAAAAATAGAGTTTTTTTTTCTAAACATTATAGGATAAACAAAAAAAATTTAACATCAATACTTACGGAGATATGGATGCATGAAGTT